ACTAAATCAAATAATAAAACTAAAAATAAAATAAAAGAAAAATAAAGAAATAGAAAATTATAGGCGTGACACTATCATAAACTATATTTTATAGACTGTATATAGTATAATATTTATATTTATTTAATGCGCAAATTTTAGTTTATTTATTTTAGATATGTATTTATTCTTCATATAACTAATGTATACAATTTACTATATAACAATAGTAAAACTATTTAATAACTTAGTTTTAATAATTATCAGAACTATCATAGTTATCAATAAACCTATGATAATAAAACAAATTATTATCGTCAAAGAAATCATCATCATCAGAAAAATTGTCTTCTGAAAAATCATTGCTATCAGAAAAATTATTGCCACCAAAAAAATTATCATTATCAGGAAAAACATTACCGTCATCAAAAAATTCTGTTTTATTAAAAAAATTATCATTAATAGACATACTTTGATCTGCTGTTTTAAAAAATCTGTAATAGGTTTTTGATTCATAGACTCAGTAATTTTTTGCTTCATTAATGTTAAGTATTTACGAAATACTTTTAAATCATTATTATTGAAAAAGAAATCATTATACATTTGTTGTTTAGCAAACAATATAAAACTTTTAACTCACTTATTCCTTCAGCAGCAGTGATTTTTGGCAGTTCTTTGTCAGAATCGTCTGAATTACCCTGCTCGTACTCTAATTATTCTGCTAATACGGTTTTAACAATCTGAGTATCATTAAGTATTTCTTCTGTAGGAATATGAGTTTGATTAACTTCTCTATATGCATCTATTTCTTGCGCAACTGTATCTTCAGTAAGATCAACCACTAATTCATATATTTCACTTTCCTCACATTTAATTGATTCTAAGTATGTATTTTGTGCAAGTTCAACATCTTCATTTGATACCAAGAGTAAAATACCAGTTTTTATCCAACAATTTGTTATTGTTAACTCTTCCACTTTATCCCATGAAGCTGCTATATAATCGATAGTTTCCTTAATATTTAATTTATTTCTAACAGAAAATAATAAATTTTAGTTTATAAAAAATTACATATAATTTTTGAATATGCAATACTTACTCAGAATCTCAAATATCTAATCCCCTCTCAAATTGATCTAAGATGTATTGAATATATTTTTTTTGATATTTTGACTTGAAGCATTTAATGATTTCTGCATCTATAGGTTGAAGATATGAGGTAGTAAGAGCAAGTAAAAATTGAATTTTAATATTTGTAAGATTATAATTAGATAAATCAGGAAGTGTATAAACACTCACCTGGCCTCTGCTATACTTGCCTTTACTTTGTCGAACAGTATTACGATTATTATTACAACTATGACTATGACTATGAATAAGACTATGACTATAGCTATAACTATGACCATGACTATGACTACGAATAAGACCATGACCACAGCCACGACCACTTCTATTTCTAGAATACAGCTCCTCAGAATCATTATGACTAGACTTTTTATCAGATAAATATGAATTTGGATCATAATGACTTGTCACATTATCAAGTAAAAGCAAAGTTTTTTGATTTTCATATTGGAATTGGCTATCAAGATCTTTCAACTATTCTAAAAATATATCACTTTATATCCATACCTTTGAGTTAGCACGATATATAACAGGTAGTGTAGAATGATTTATTCCAGATAATACTTGTGGTTTAATTAAAGATCCTATTATAAGAGGCTTTAATTTTTCAGTACCAGTAACATTACATGCTAAAAGAATAGTAATACAAGTACGATCCTAAGTTTATTAACAATAAAAAAGGTTTAGTTTAATGAATAGTTTTTAATCAAATTTTACAATAAAAAACAAACTATTATTAAATTAATAAAAATTACTTTCCTTTTTCTATCCTGAACAGGGTCAAGATGCCAACGTTTGGTTGAGTGCTATTTGAAAAAACAGACCCGTTTCATCCGCATTAAAAATGTTATTTAATACATATTCTTGAATGATATTTTGTAAATTGCATCAGAATTCTGGAAGGTTACTTGTTGACACACTACCAGCCTCCCCATGTAATTGAAATTTTCGCAAACTATTATGTTTTTTAAATTGCCTTATCCAACTATTAGAGAATTTTATTTCATTATCAGGTAGTGATAAAGCTTTAAAAAAATAAGCAACCTTCTCTTTGATAATCGTCTCAGTTAAAAATAACCCATTATTGACAACCTGTTCAACCTATAACTTCATGGCTTGGTCTAGCAAAGGAAAATTTACTTTTCTATGTCGAAATGTACTTGATGTTATCTTATTTTTACTAATAGCTAACCATTTATTTTTCTCTTTGAGAATTTTAGAGATGGTTGAACGATCAAGATTACGTTGTGAATCTTAAGCATTAAAGTACTCTGTGATTTGTGTTTGTGTTTTATTAGGGTTTTTACATGATATTTGCAAATTTCATTTTTTAGATTATTACTAACTGCTATGCGTGTCTTTTTAGTAGATTGATTGGATATTATAATTGTAATAACAAAAAAACCAGAGTGGCCAAGAAATATGGAGGATATATTCCTCTTATATATGTTAGAGAAATTCTATATATCCTTAATGTCATTAAAAAGTTTTACAGTATTTTGCTTTTATAAATACACACAAAAAAAGCAAATCATACCTTTGTGAATAGTGAAGGTTTTTAATAATTTAGAGAATAAGGTTAGCAGATAATTTCTCGAAACTAGTAAGAATCGATTTGTTCATTTATTATATCATATCAGTTGGTTCTCAATCTATTGTTTATTGATTAAATAAATACATTGGTGATTAAATAAATATATCAAGTGTTGAAAATAGAGTTCTAATTCAGATAAATCCACCATTCATTTATCCATATTTGAATTTATCCAGATATCCATTTACTATTAGTATCCAAATAATCTGACAAATATTTGAATAATTATCCAGATATCAATAGTAAAATGGATACTCAAATAAATTCAGATCTGGATATTCGATAAATAAATATATAAATGAATAATGGATTGGAACTTTAGTTAGAAAATAGGAATTATTAACATGTTCGTATACTTACTTAAATATAACTTGTAGGATACATATTAATTAGCTTGCCAAAAATATACAAGCAATTGTTAGTGTCAATATGAAGGAAAGATTTTTTTTTCATCTTAATTACATATTTTAATTACGTATTTAAATAATTATATATTTATGATGTTACAATTAGATACGTATAATAGTATTTTTTTTTTCATGCTCAAATACACTACTAACTTGTTCTTCTATAGCTATTTAACCCAATTCTTGATTGTTATAAATATAATTTGATAATGAGAGCCATTTAATCTGGTTTAGAATTCGGTATTTTAAATTATGCTTTCTGAAAATTCTTGAAAAATCTGATCAAAATAAGATGTATACAGCTAATTTCTAATTCAACAGTGATACGATAATTCAAATTTTTGCATTAGACTATATTTGACAAAATTTTAAAAACCAAATACAAGTTTTTTTTTAGACTTAATTATGGAAAGAGATTAAATGAGAATTACTTACGTTTATGAATGATATTAATTTATATTGTAAGAAAAAGGTACTTAAATCTATTAATTAACAAATTTGTTAATACAATAAAGTGTTAAAAAATTCATTATTAATTAATACATATGTTTAGATCAAATATGTAATTTGTTCT